AGTTACGCCTGCCGAAAGTGTGGGGAGGCGGTGCAAGGTCATGCTTTGCACTCCCACCCAACTACTCCACCACATATGCCCATGTCTGGCAAGTCGCAGGCGCACAGCAGATGATCAATCGCACGCTTCAGATGCGGACCATGACGACGAAGGTAGAGCTCTACTGAGCGGGCATGGTCACAACAGCGGTGCTTCGAGAGGAGGCGCAACAACAAGTGGCCGCGACCGTAATGGCGTGGGCAGCGGCTACGGTTCCACATCTGCATCCCACCCTGCTGCTGCTGTTGCTGGTGGATCGAGAGGATCGGTAAGCGGCGATGCTGCAAGAGGAGATGCAGCATCAGCAGCAGCGGCAGATCCTCATCTCAGGGTAAAGCGCATCGACGTGAGCAAGGCGAATATCGACAAGAGGAGGGAGCACGTCCTCACGTGAGTAGCATTCCAAAGGCCATGTCAAGTCTCGCCTCATCCACTCACCCCGCTACATCATCTGCCCTCTCATCATGCTTACCACCAATCCATCTCGTCACATGCCACCCTGCTCAGACATCTGCACCATCTCGATGCATCCACGCTGCGGTCCAGCTCCACACCTCCCGCACACGGAAGAGGGCGACAAGGCACCACATCCAACTCCGACGCCTCTTCTCCTACAGACATCAAGCCACGCCAGTCGCGCAGTCACGCTCGGGCCTCCTCCTCATCAACCTCCATCTCTTCGGCCTCGTCGCCTCCGGGAACTTCCACTTCAGGGGCAGTCGCGCCACCCACATCTGCATTGGGTCGCAGAACTCGCCGGGTGCACACTTCCGTCTCGGGTAAGGTGAGGGCTCTGCATCTGGGCTTGAGGCCCGAGTCTCCTCCGGGTCCCTCGTTCGATTCCAACCAAGCTCTCGGAAGTAGAGAGATGGAGGAACAGGCCGCGGAAGATGCTAAGAAAGTCGAGAGGGGCAACGCGGCAGATATAAGTGGACAGCAAACGCGAGAGAGGGGCAGACCGATGAGAGGAAGAAGGACTTCCAGTCTGGACAATGCGGACGTGCTACTCAAGCGAAGGTTGGCCAGTGAGCATAGTTTGCAAACCATTCACGGCTCCTCTCCGCCCGACGAAGAGGTCAATCATGGGGCGGCGCGTCCAACAGCAGCAGCAAGCACCACATCGCGCACCGCCGATGCCCATTCTCCACGTTCGCGCTTGAAGGAGGCACACGATAGGTCCGGTCCGATGGTGGAGGATTGGGACGAGGGACCAGCGGTGAAGAATCTGAACGCTTCGGACTTGGAGTTGGAATCGGGTACAGAGAGCGAGAGGGAGCCGCCGCCGGTGGCAGCGATCGGTGCGGATAACAAGCAAGGCAGAAGACGATGAAGCAGGATGCGGCACTACCCCAAGCCAAAGCTGCATAACAAAACGTCTGCCGATCGAGTCAAAATATCTGCCGATCGCACCTAGCACCCAAAAGATGGGACCTGAGCCTTGCAAGGTCATCGTCACACACACTCTCTGTATTTGTTTGACCTTTTCACCTATCACACAAAACTTCATTCATCCCCCAAAACAAGTCACTCCTCTGCGCATTCTTACTGCCAGTCGACT